TTACGAATGCAGATTCAATTCAACATTTCTTTAATTTATTTGGATTTGCATCTGAAAGAAACAGTGCAAGAATATTTCAATATCCAATAGAAATATACTTTGACATGGTTGACATATTTAAATACTGTATATCACTCTTAAATGTCATGCTAATTCAGCAATGACTTATAGGTGGTCTACGATTTAGGATCAAACATTTATGTTGCTAAGCAAGACAGTTGTTAATTGAGTTTTGTCCCATTTTGTGACCTTTCTTGCTACAGTTGTTTAGTGAATCACTGCAGTGATTAAGTTAGTAACATGGTTGTTAAGTGAATGTGGCTTCCCCATTGACTTTGCTTGTCAGAAAGTCGCAAAACATGACCCAGAGGCACTGCAACCATCATAAATACATGTCAATTGCCAAGTATCTGAATTTTGATCCTGGGGATGCTGTAATGGTCGTAAATGTGAAAAATGATCATAAGTCACTTTTTTCAGTGCCATTGTAACTTTGAACAGTCACTAAACTAATGGCTGTAAGTCAATGACTACCTGTAGTATGTTGGGAGTCTGCATTGGATATTTAAATGAATAGTTGATCATCAGATTCAATTGTTACCCAAAGATAGCAGGATCCACTCCATTCCAGAATCTGATAATATGTGACACACCCTCCTAAACAAAGAGTAATAGATGGCAAGTTTTCCTTGGGGTGGCCCACTCTATGTCTGATAGATATTCCTACCAGCACTAGAATAGAATGGTTCTAACTCTTGAAACTTGATCTAGACAAATGAGAGGGAAATATAATAGGAGATATTATTGATATAGTCCATGTTTGTGTGAAAAAGGGCTGTTTATTGCTCTGTGAGGTCAACAAAGATACATAGTCATTTTAGAGCCAGTTTGGCTAGAAACCTGGAGCCTGTAAGTTCTAGTCCTGCTTTAGGCATGAAAGTTGGTTGTCCCTCTCTCTCAGCCCATTCCACCTCACAAGGTTGTTATTGTGGGGAAAATAGAAGGAATGAGTATTGTCAGAGTATGAATATTCAAAGACTGGAATAGGCATAGCAACAGCCAATGGGGACTGTTTAGATAGACGTGGTAACAAATCAGCCAATGGGGACTATTTGGAAACTGAAACATAGTATTTGTTTGTATGGGGCCATAAGAGACAGTTTGGAGTCTGGGCGTGGTTTAGACTTGTTGAACTGTATATAAGAGTCGGTTTGGCCTCTGTAATGGATACCTCTGAACAATATTAGCCTCTGTATCTCTCTACTCTGTAATGACTTGCTTCTATGAAAGCAAGTGCATTTGTCATTTATTTTTGAAGACATTTCGGTTACGCTTTTTTTTTTTTAGAGAAATACTCAGAAAAATGATGATTAAAGTTAGGGTGTCTTTCTCCCCCCACCCCCAAATAAATAAATTTAGCCCTGGCTGAAATCTGGCCTCTTGATCTCTGAACAGGAGACCGCTGCAGTGGCTTTCTGGAAGATGTAGTGTCCAGCAGCGGCAATGAAATCAAAGTGGAGGTGGGGCAACAGAATTTCAGAGCCCAGTACCTCAGAGTGTAAAACAAAGAGGCTGTCAGGGTTCCGACGGATGCCCTAATTAAACGTCCTGGCCTATGGCAACTCGAAAGCAGGCCAGGGATGCTTTGCGAATTGACATTGGCATCCTTTAGAGTAGAGACTGGAAAAAGACTGGAAAGAAAGGACTGAGGAGAGAGAGTGAGCAAGGGCTGTTCTGAGGGATAGAGAACTGCTGTGGCATTCTGGCCTGCCATAAGAGAGGGGATAATTCTAGTCCAGTCAATTCAGTCTAGTCAATTCACCTCACAGGATTGTTGTTGTGGGGAAAATAGGAGGAAGAAGGATTAATAGATACGTTCACCGCCTTGAGTTATTTATAAAAATAATACAGACAGTACAATAATGTAATAAATTTAGAAAACTCCTCTAGTTGTGAAAGGTGGCTGGGAGACTGTGGGCCGGTTGATCTTTCTCAGTCCCACCACCTCATAGGATTATTGTAATAGAGAAGAAAGGAGCATGAAGTTTGTTGTTGCCTTGAGTCCTTGTCATTATTGTCATCATTGTCATCATCATCAGATTTTTTAAAAAACATTAAAATAGTCCCAAAGAAATAAAATTGGGAAGGGAGTTTGGTGGGCATGTTGGAGTCCATGAACAACTTGCTGTTCACTCTGGTTTACCTCCTACTCTGTAATTCTGCTAGCAAAGAAAATGTGATCTGGCCAAAGTTATGTTTGTCCTGGTACCCTCCAGGTTAGAACAGAGTCATGCACTTTATGTGGTACTATTTTGGATGAGCTTTCAGCCAAATTTTATGTACACCCATGGACCTAGAAATAAGAACATGTCATGGTATTATCTTCACTGGCTACCTGTCTATTTTACCCTTGCACAGGATTCTTTAATCCTTTTTTCATAGGCACCCAAAACAATCCACAGTTATCTCTAAATGACATGTGCATCATGACATTATCATGCAAGTAGGACAATTACCTATGCAAGCACATTTGTCACATAATTTGCATCCTGAAGTAGGACAAACATATTGTTATTTTCTCTGTCCACTGCCCCGTCCCCCGTCTCATCCCCCGGTCTCTCTGTAGATGCCGGTGCTTCTATAGCAGTGGTCCCCAACCCCCAGTCCGCGGACCGGTGCCGGGCCGTGGAGTACCTGGCACCGGGCCGCGCAGCGGCCAGGGGACATGAACGCTGCAGCGCAAAGGCTCCTGGGCCGTGCGCAATGGGCCGTGCGCAAAAGCTCCTGGACCGTGCCCCTACCCCTGCGCGCGCTCAGCGGGCCACGGCGATAAAAAGGTTGGGGACCACTGTTCTATAGGATCTTTCTCATTGTGTTGGTGCCATACAAATATGTGGGAATCATTCCAAAATATCCAATAGTTAACATTACAATTTGTGATAATGTTGTAAACTTTCTGGGATATTATTCTGCCAGATGCAATTACCACATGTACCAATTTAAAATCTAGCTCAGTCATTTCCACTGGCTTAGATCTGTGACCACAATGCACAGAACGTGTGATCTCAGAAAGCACTTTAGACAGAGCCCACTGTTTGTTCTGTTTTTCAGTAATTTCCTTGCCTGGATTTAGAGAAAATAGCACTTGGTATTCATAGAGATAATTTAGTGCATTGGTTGTTATCAGGAAAGGAGATATTGGTCTGATTAAAGCCTTTATGTGAATGAGATCTGTAACTGTATACATTATTAATGAAGTTAGGGTAATTGTAAAGTTTTATGACTTAGGGATCAGTAGAAATTGGTTCCATGGTCATTTTGAGAAATTACGAGAATATGCCTCGCACTGTGGGTGCTGATAGCTTAGCATTAGTCATGGTCTTCCTGCAGCCATGGCCTGTGACAGCACTTAATGATAGTCATTTTGTAGCGTGACCATGCATTAGAATAGATTTACAAGAGCATAAAATGTCAGATATCAAAATGCAGAGTTCTCTGTCAGTTCTTAGCACAAAAATCCCTCTATACAGCAAGGACTTTGGAGCAGTTATAACTCAGAGGCAAGGTAATCATTCCACCAGAAACAATGAGGTATTTCACAGAAAAATAAGGTCTCTAGATGCAGAAAATCATGGGATTATTCTTTTTAGTTAGTCACAGAAAAGTATATTTGGGAAACTCAAAAGGTTAGCAAATTTTGCCCTAATAGTGATCTGGGATGTATGAATTTTGTTTTCAGATTAATTGATGAACAAGTAGGAACTAAGTAAAGAAAGTTGACAAGATGACAAGCATTTGGATATATAGTCACCAGGAGACAAACTGGGTTTTCTCTATTTCATTTGGAAAGGTTCAAACTTGTAACTGATATTACTGCACTGTCTCAACTTCATCCTGAAAGTAATTTGTTTAAAAATTTGTGATGTGATTAGGCCCTTCAAGGACATTAAACATGATGCTTCAAACATCATAGTAGCTAAACTTTTTTTCCTATTGTCTAGAATATTCAGGATCCAAAATAGAGAGCAACATAGAAATCTAAGTTTATATGCAGGCAGCATGAAAAATGAGCTTGCCGGACTAGGATTTCAAAGCAGTTATCTTTGACTATGTTGTAATATTCAGGTTGTTAAAAAAATCTACAAATATGTTAGATTTCTCAGGAAGCAATTATGCCATCTAAACTTGTATATATCAAGTGTTCTGTGAAAATTTACTTCTGCTCAATTATTTCTTAGTTGCTTCCGTTATTATTCTACTTTTCCTCCAATAAGTGAATCAGTGAATGTGTCACCTCCATTTTAGATTGATAGTCAGTGAGTAAAGTCTCCTGGCAAATTTCCTAATTCAGCAGGAAGTTCAACCATCTCTCCAGTTCTAGTAGGATCAGCCAATCCTTTATATTACACTGATCCCTCAATCTAGCAATATACTTTGTATTCCTCATATTACTGTACAGCAGGAAAAGAATTGCAAGTAAAATTCTGAATGTCTTTTTCTATCTCATGTTCAGTGGAAATAATACAGAAGAACTCAAAGAGCTTCTTAAAACAAAATAATCATTCAAGTTCTGGATATAGTCAGCTGGCTTCTTATCTGTGAAATAGAGCATTTTTTTTAAATGTACATAGTGAATTGTGAAAATCAATAATTTGAACAAGAAATATGTTTAAAGTGAGAACATTTCACTTTAATGCTTTTAGAATATAACAGTATGTTTGCCATCAGGACATTTACATGCCGGTCACTTTTGCTGGATGCTCAAGTTCCTTAAAATGTAATACCTGATTAAGGACAAAGGAGAATTTTTTTTTACTAATGATGGATGAAAAACATGGCAGAAAAAAAAATTGCTACAAGCCAGGGAAGAACACTATTTTATAGAGTATTTTGATAAGGCTTGGTTTATTATTTGCAAAGAGAGAATGAAAGGGGAAAAAAATGATACTGGCATTGATAGGTAATATAATCCCTCCCACCTCTTTTTTTTCCCAATCAAGGATTTGAAGGTCTGAACTGTGAAATCAACTTTGATGACTGTTCCCGCAGCTTCTGCAAAAACAATTCAACGTGTTTAGATCTGGTTGAAGATTACACTTGTGTTTGTCCTCCAGGTTTCACTGGTAAGGTGTTGACTAAGATTGTAAATGAAAGAATAAATAATTAAAGTCTTTATTATTTCCTGCAAAGTTAAATAGCTGGCCGTGATTGCATTTTAGACATAAGTAATGTGTTATTTTGCAGTCAGGGTCATTGATGACGCCCTTTAATTCTCTGATCATAAGAGTTGAAATGCTGATATTATTTTCAAGTTAATTGACAATAAATTTTAAAAAGTACTTGCAATCCATACTGTAGAAAAGGATTAATAGCTAGTAATGCTATGCAAATTCTTTGAAAGAGGTGGCTTTGAAACAGACAGGAATACATGCAGTGCTCTTCTTTTCAAATGGTTAAAGCAGCTATATCTTTCTTTTTTAGACTCATATGGATGGTTCTGAAAGGCTCTGAACTGTCTGCATAAGTAGGTGGATGCAGTTTCTGAAGCAGCTTCATGAGTCTTAAAGAAAGTCTATTGCATGTTCTCCTGCTTTGGTTAAAATACCTCTAGCAAACCTTTAATAACTGGTTCAAGTTAGTTATTACTCTCTGATGAGTATGCGTTTGTTGTAGAATTTACCACATGTTTGGTTCATTTTGTGGGTAATCTATGAGGGTACATGCTAGTAAATTTGAAAAAAAAAATGGGAATCCATTTTCCCTATCTTCCCATATTATTCTTATTTTATTGCAGTTCATCTCTTTTTGACATACTTTTTTTTTTAAAAAAAAAAATCTCTGCCCCTGATCTTTGTCAGTCATGCTACTGAAGAAACCAATGACTACTGTGAGAAGATAAATTAAACTTTGTATACAAGGATTATATGAGAATTGACTGAAGATTGCAGTTTGCCCAGCCCTGCTTATTCACAAACAAGAGATGGCCATTCTACATACAGTGATTTCTTTTTCTTTAAACTTTGAGTAAAGAAAAGTTATTGAGATTCAGTGCAAATGAGGATTTTCCTTTATTTTGGAAGAAGATACATAATTTTTTTGGGGGGGGGAGGAGTAGTTAATTGTGTAGTGGTTCAGATGTTAGGCCATGAGTGAGAAGTCCCAGATTTAAATTTACTTTCAGGTATAGAAGCTCATTGAGTTATTTTAAGACAATCACTCTCTCTCAGATTAACCTACATTCACAAAGCTGTTGTAAAGAAAAGTTGGGGGACAGAATGCTACACATGCCACTTTCAGCCCTGAGAGGAAAGAAATATAATACCATATAATGGTAATAATAACAGTAGCAGCAACAAACTGCCAATTAGAATATTGAGGGCTAACAGACATGTGGCTTGTATTTATGTATTTATAGAGTATATTAATCAAACCAGTTGGGCTGTTCTTAGATTTTAATAGGTGTTCCGTTTCAAAAGAAACAGCAACCATTAATTTAAATCTTGTTTATAATGCTCCATCCATTCTCAACTGCTACTGCTGAATTACATTTACTTGGAATATGTGATGAAGATATAGAAGTATACTAATGCTATTATAAATCAAACCAAATCTTTATTATTGCTGCCAAGGCTCTGTAATGCTATGGAAGAAAGCTCATCTCAGTCTCCCAAAATAGTTTCTGCAGGAAATGGACAAGCAACATGGTTGCATTGTTTTGTTCTTGAAAATAAAGGAACCATGTTGCCTTGAGAAGCAGACTTGCATCTGTGCATCCTTTCAGAGTTTTTCAAAGCCTAACATACATATAAGCTTTTCCTGTCATTCCTTCAAAGGTATAAATGAGGATTAGCTAATATGGTACTGCAGTTCTAATTTTTCCTTGTAACTTTCAAAACTTTTTTGAAGAAGAAATAAACTTCTGGAAAAAAAATTATAAGCTTTGTGGAAGTTTGTAAATGAGGTAGCTTGACTTTGTGAAAAACAACTCAGAGTAAATTTCTAAAGAATGCATTGAATTGCATCTTTCATGCCAAATTAAATCAGGCTTGATATAATTTTTTTTATTCTTTAAAATTATTAATATTGAATGCCTGAATGAATCTTTTTACTCAACAAACTATACTTTTGCTTACTTTGTCTAACAAGAAACTTCAGGCTCTCATACATAACATAAATTAATACACACAGGTATTATTTACCTGCCAAGCATTGGCATCTTCAGTACAATAGTAATCCCTCTTACACACTAAGGCATTTCAATGTGCAGGAATAAATTACAAGCTGTGTGGGAAAATGAGAGTATCTCCTATCCACTGTAGAATCTCTTTTATAAGAGTGTAGGATTTCCTGCTTTCAAAAGATATAAAAACAATAACAAGGACTCTCTCTCTCTCTCTCTGTGTGTGTGTGTGTGTGTGTGTGTGTATGTCTTTGTATGCATCTAGAATAGAAAGGTAAGTGGGTAGATGATAGGGATTAACAGGTTCTGTGGCAATTTGCAAACCCTATGCTTAGCCTTAAGATTAGGAAAAAGGCTTCAGTATAGTTAAAGCTTTGACCTATGGTATTAGTCAATCCCAGCTAGGTACATAACCAGATCACTTCCTCAGGCAGTTAGCTAGAGATAGAGACATGTCACTGACCTGTCAAAAAACACATGGAAACATATGCATCCCAGTTGATAATTCAACAATTGTGGTTATTTAATAAAGTTGTGGCCAAATTTTAAACTGAGTGGTTCCTGTATTTTGTGCAATTTAGCATACCATATGAGAAAATACAGCACTACAATTAAGACCAGACAGGAACAATATACTATTGTGGGAATTGGAAAGAATTAGAATCCCCCGAAAATGCATGCTCTTTACTACTAGAGGTTCAACATTTCAGGGGTTGTCAAGAGTCTTCTTACACTAGTTTAAACAGTTAATTTCTCCATAAAGAATGAAGAGTAAAGCTAGCAGCAAGTTGCATAAAATTAAAAGGAAAATCAATTATAGTTCAACAACACAATTTTCTCTTCCTGTTAGAAATTAACCAAAGTGCCTTGTTTACATGAAATCAGAGGCATAATTTGCTGAAAGTTTCTCATCTGCAAATAATTAGCACGATTTCTTTAATTAGAATGAAAGCTTAAGAGCTGAAATCATCTGGAGAAAATGTGTTCATTCATCAACTAAGAATAAAGTGAGATGAAATGAGATTTGTTATTTCGTTATGTGATTGCTGCATGGAAATGCTACCAAGTATTATTTATTAATTTCGCTCTCAATGGCTTTTATTTTGGGAACAATTTCATAAAAACAATGTGTTTACTTCAGACTAGGGTTATAGATGAATGTTTTTGGCAATAGATTAATGCCTTTTAAAACCAAAGTTGTAATGTGAAACTGAAGATAATGCCAGAAAACGACAAAAAACTACAATAATAAAATGCAGGTACTACCAATTGTGTTCTGCACTGGTCTATAATGGAACATCAACTGAAACATCACTGCAGCAAAATATTCTAATGTTGTAGTAACAAACCATACAAGAATCATTAAAAGAATCATATAGGATGCGTTTGCATACTGAAAACAGTTCTTTGGAACCATTATTGCTTTTCACTAGCATCCCAGCAGAATCTGCTCTGGGGGAATGAGTGATTGTCTGAAACAAAGGACCACATACTCTAAAGGAGGGAGGGGAAAGAAGAAGGGAAACTTTTGCTGAATGAACAAAAGTTTACTCATGCAGTATTGACTGTAAAAATAAGACATATGGAGTGGGGATGCTGATGGAATCCAATGAAAGAGAATTGTATCTGCTACATGCTTTGAGAGTGACCCCTAGGTAGACCTTTATATTCATGCAGTGGAGAATACTTTTGATACCAGTACTGAAATTGTCCCAAAGGTGCTATTTCAAGAGGCAACTGGATTTTCTTTGTTTTTCCCTTGAAGACGTTTTGCTTCTCCCCCAAGAAGCTTCTTCAGTTGCTTCTTGAAAAAGCACCTTTGGGACAACCATGACCTGGATGTCTGAGAATCTCCATAGACATTCAGTATTGAAATTATTGCATGGCTAGTCTAATTAAAGGGTTTCTTTTCTTTCTTTCTTTCTTTTCTCTTTTTGGTGCACAGAATGATTACTAGCAAAAACAAGATGCACCTTCTTTATGCTCTCCTTTAAGCAACAAATTATGTTGAAAACCTGGTTGTCATGTTTTACATTTTCCCTTCTCATCATTGAGATAATCAAACTCAATTATGAACTGTATTGGGAATTGAGCTTCTGAACCTGTAAGGCAAATTGCATCATCTTCCAGAAAGGGTAAACTCACCATTGCCCAGAGTTAGTATTTGCTAATATTTTTTTATTGCCAACCACAGGAATTTTCCCCCTGTTATGTTGCCTTAGAGCAGGGCTGTCAAACTCCCGGTCCATGGGCTAGATGCGTCACATGCTGGTCACGCCACACCCGATTTAGCGAAGTGGGGAAAAGTCCTGATACGTCACATGACGATGCTGTGATGACACAAGTTTGACACCCCTGCCTTAGAGAATCAGCTTGTGCAGTGGGTAAAGCAGAAGGTTAGAATCTGGAAGATGGTGAAGTCTAATCTCACCTTAGCATGAAGCTAGTTAGGCAACTTTGTCCCTGTCCAGTCATTCTCTCTCAGTCCTGGGAAGAAGGCAATGGCAAACTACTTCCAAAAATTTGTCAGTAAAACTGAAATGAGTAGTCCAGATAATAACCAGGAATCAAATCTGTTTTGAAGAGAAAAAAATGTTGCCTTATCGTGAAGAAGTCAATTTACGGCCACCATTATAAGTTCCTATCATTGTTTTAGGAAAAATTCTGGCAAAAGGTAGGTTTAAGTAGGGTCAGCCAGGCCTCCTTGATGGTGTTGTACTCATGCTTAATATTTGTGGCTGGAAAGGGCTCATTAGAAACACTAGGTATCACGAAGCAAAGTAGTTATGGTTGCTCTTATTCTTGTATTTGATATGATTTGTACAAAATAGAGTTGTAGCTGAGAAAGAATAGGATCTGGACTCTTGAGATAGTGAATACTACAGTAGTGAATACTACTATAGCTGTCTAGTACAACTAGACAGCTACAGTAGTAGCTGTCTAGTTGTACTTTAGATTACTCATTCTATCAATATTTAATTGATTGTCACTGGGATCTTTTTTTTCTCTACTTATAATTTAAAACCAAATCACATTTTTTTCAATGTGTCTGGGCTTATAAATATCCTTTTTCTGTTTTGCAAACATGATATTAACTCTAATTATACTGTTGGAAATACAGTTTTCTAACACCCTAAGAAATATATTGTAAACACTTTCTTTTCAGTTTGTATAATCTTGTCTGTAAAACATTTAATTTATTTAACTACTCTTTATAATACATTTTGTTAAAAAAAAAAAACCTTTTCTTCAAAGCTGTCAGACAAACAAAATACTGTGTTCCCAACCAGGAAAACTTAAATTATGTAGTTGTCACTTGAATTATGAAGTAGCTTTTTTGTTATCCCAAACCTTACATGATTTATAGTTTTAACATTTCATTTTCTTTTCTGTCAGACAAAAACTGTTCAATGGACATTGATGAATGTGCCTTCAAGCCCTGCAAAAATGGAGCCAGTTGCCATAATTTGATTGGCAAATTTTACTGTAACTGCTTGCCAGGTAGGTGCTCAGGTGGTATGTGGGTAGAAGAGTTAGAAAAAAAAAATGTTCAGGACAGAAATAGAACTTGTTACCTCCGAAATATTATTTTAGACTCAGATTTGTGGTGTAAATCTCAGCTACCCCCCCCCCACATCATCCATAGAAGCTGTACAAATGTTCTCTAATATGCAACACGTTTGTTATTACGACAGTGTCCTCTATTTTTGTGAATTTGCTTTCTGACCATGTCTCCTGAACACCTATCTGAAGATGAGATGTTGCATGCGAATGAAGAAAGGCTATTTTATATGAAAATATCAGTCACCTTTCATAAGAAGGTCTTTAAGGATGCTCTGGTTTTTTAGACTTTGGTGAGAGACTGATTTCCAGATGAAATGGTGGAACAATAGTGCTATTTTACATAAGACTTTAGAAGATAAGGAATCATATTTTGTTCTTGTCTTTCAGATCTACAAAGTTTTAAATCATCTTTCCTTTTATCTCTTCTTCCCTTTTTAATGTTAGAAATTTGGAACCACATTTTGAATTTATCACTCAAATAGCACAGTACAAGATAGGGAAACAAATAGTAATGCTAATGTTTGCTGTATTAATTTAGCGGGGTAGGGAAACTGGCAAAATAAAGAAAGGAAATTAAAAACTGGGATATACTTAGATAGAGGAAATAGAGGCAGAGGAAAGAAAAAAAAGAAAGTTAAAAGCTGGGATGTGCTTAAGTAGCGACTTACTGGCTGAGCCAAGCAATAGAACAAAAGGAAGCAATTTTCTTGAGGTTGCATCTTGAAGGAAGAAATGGATGAAGATAAACTTGATATCTAAAATATACAGAAAGTTGTTGCTCTGCTAGATTTGGGCTCTGTCTGGTTAGATACATAGGTTAACACTGAGGGTCCATATTCAATATGCTCACAGGTCATTATAGTAAGTGTGTAGGATTTGATTATGTATGTATAAATGCCTACTTGGTCATGGTTGTTACCTTCACAACCTCTTGATTTTTCTAAAACATTACAGGCGCACTTTAGTATAAATATGCCTAAAATGTTATTTTCTGAAGTAGTTGAATTGAATGAGATTATTCTGTTAAGAAAGGATTTTTTTTTCAATGAGTAGAAAAATACTTGATACCTCAAAGGATATTAATAAAAGGTAGCTTTGTTCCTACCCCCATCCTCTTCCTTCAGGTCAACTATTTGGAAAGTTTACCTTTATCAAGCAGATATGCAAGAGGAGGGAGAAAAACTTCTGATAAAGTTTATGAAATTGGCTTCTCTTAGCTTTGGAATTAACTTGTGCTTTTGTTGAAATTTGTAGCACATTCATGTGAATTCAGCCTAGATGTCTGAGGTAAAGGTTAACATGTCAATGAAATGAGCAAACTGATTTCAAAACTACCCGACACAAAATCACTAGGGGATTATCTCTCATTGTGTAAGATACAATACTTTGGGGAATGACATGTTTAATATATTGATGCATCATATTTCAAAGGTCTTTGTTGTACTCTCCAAATTCTTCTATCACAATTCTGCTACCACTCTTCTAAACATTGCAATTATGTACACAATCCAATATATTGGATTTAAGGAGTTTCACCATGTGTGGAATCACAAGGCAGAGAATAGAAAATGATTTTTTTTCATCTGGTTCTATTTTATTATAAACTAAGAAAAGAAAGGAAAACACAAGGGACTTCAAAGAGATGGGACATGGCTGGTATATACTGTAACTCAAGATTGTTTATAAAAAGTATTAGCTTGAAGAATTTTTAGTAATATTAACATATGCTTATAAAAGAAAAAGAGAATGTGAAATAAGAACTAATAAGAGATTATATTATCCAGGGGGACCTTCACGTTAAGTGAAGTAGCCTTAAAGCAAACGAGAGGGCAATTTTTTTTGTTCCCATTGCCAATATTTGGCTGATGTATATATTTCTTAATAGGCTAATACATTTTGCAGGTCTATGATCTTAAGATCAAAACTTAGGATCTTAATTAACTTTAACTTTATATTAGATATCCTAAATCTAAGGAAATCAATAAGCCTTAATTAGCTGTATCAAACCTTTGAGCAACCATGCCACAAACGGACATGAAGTGGCAGGGCATATTTATTTATTTATTACATTTCTATGGGCCCATCTCCCCTACAAGGTGTCTCTGGGTGACTCTAAGCGGCTTCTTCAGCATCAAGATGGATTTGCCATTGGCTGAATGGGTAGCAGACAATGAACCCAGAGTAGGAGAGGGAGCTTTCTGTCAAGTCCTGTGGTATGGATATGCAACTTCAGTCCTGGATCATCAGGCTGAGCTGCCTTGTACCATGTGGTGACATCTTTGTGGCTGACTATTGTTCAAGAGGCCCTATAGCTTTTGAAAGTGAAAAGTAGGGAGACAAAAGTTACTGGCGTGATGGAATGTAGTCTGGATTTTCAGGAGAGAGGAGGGGTATTCCAGAGGAGCAAAAGACAGGAAAGCTTAGATAGTTTGTATGGGAGAAAGAGAATGAAGACAATTGTGCAAGTAGTCTGCTTTTAGTTTGGCAAGATTTATTTCTATAGGTGAGGAACAATAAAGGAAATTGCTTAGAAGAACGTCAACATGTCCTTCTTGGTTTTATGGAGCTTGACACTGACTCATATTCTTTAAGATTTTGGATAGGGAGTACATAGCCAGATAAGTACCAGATGAATTGACAAGAGCTATGCAGAATCTTTCAGAAAGGGGATTTCCTTAAGCAGAACTCCCAGCAAAGGCCATCTCTAGCTGCATTTTCATACTCAGATAAGGTATTTAAGCAATTGTGCTTTGAGAAATACAGTGTTTCAATGCATCAAGTGGTGAGTCTCTGAGGGAAGCACATGCACATATTTGCATAGGCCTAAACTTAAGTTTAATATCATTCCCCCCCCCCCCTTTTTTAATAGAGGTCTTTGTTCATTCCCCTTTGTGCTTGATACTAGTTGATGGCTGTGGCTAGTACATTCTTAGTTGTCAAAAATACTTTATTACAGTTATGGATTCCTTCCTGTATTTCTGTTCATGATTCAGTGGTTCATGATCCTCTTTTACTAGTTCTTGTGGTACTTGTGTCTCTCCTATAGATCATTCTTTTTGTCGTCCCAAGGCATCTGGTTTTCATCCATTTTAAGTTCTTTTTTTCTATTCAGTTTTTCAACCATTTACTTCAATTGCCCTTCCCACTCCCTTCTAAAACCCAGCTCTTGTCTTTTATCATACATTGTTTGAGATTTTGGTTCCCTGTTCACATTATTTATTTTTCTCTTATTTAGCTTAAATATTGGCTATGACAGCAACCTATGTCACAGTTAGTGACAAAACATACATATGCATCATATGTTCTATGAAGAATTTGACACTTCAATATTATCCAATGAATATTAACATGGTATTAATAATATATAATAAGAATACTTCAAGGATAACAGTATTCCAGAAGGAAATTAAGACTGGCACATTCTTAATCTGCATATAGATTTAGCAGAATACTATAAAAAAAATAACCAAAATATGTGTACTTAATAAATGTGTGATAAGCAGAGTAAGAAAAGTAATTTATTCAGTGATAAATTAAGGGTTCTTAATATTTTATATTTTGTTTATAGTAGGATGTTTTCAGATATATGCTTAAAGAATAACATTGCCCTCTTATGCATGTCAACTCTGAAGTGAATCTCAGTGACTTCAGAAGAAGCTGTATCTTAATAAATAGATTTAAGATTGCAGCCTGAATAGATTTATACCAATATATCACTTTCTTCAAAGCAAAGTACTTCTTAACCTTGATCATGTCATCTCAGATCTTTTATTGCTCAAAGTCATATTTTGTGCAAAATCCCGTAATGTTTATTTTCTGTGTCATTCTCCCAAAAAGATGCATAGTATGTTATAGTGCATAAATCTAATTCATGGCACATTTTGAAAATGCATGCACTCTATAAAAGCCGTTAAAAGAGAAGTAGCTTAGAAACGGAAGACTGCAATATGCTGGAAACAGGAGACTTGGATAGCCTTGTGAATCTGTCTATTAGCCATTCAGGCAACTATTTCATTTTATGGGATGTTTCTTAGGCATCCTCAAATATTTTTTTTATTATTATTTATTTTATTTGTTTCCTACATTTATTATTTTACAAATAACTCAGCAGATCTAAGATATCTAACTTACCTTCTTCCTCCTGTTTTCTTCACAAGAACTCTATGGGGTGAATTGGGCTGAGAGGGATTGACTGGCCCAAGGTCACTCAGCCGGCTTTCATGTCTAAGGCAGGACTTGAACTCGTAGTCCCCTGCAGTGGTGAAATGTAAAATTTGTTACTACCAGTTCTGTGGGCATGGCTTGGTGGGGGGGGGGTAATGTGACTGGGTGGGCATGGCCAACTTTTTTTTTTTTTAAAGCATTTTTTATACAACCTCTTCGGCCGAAGAGATTGTAAAAAAATGCTTTTAAAAGGCTCTAACGATCCCAGCTGAGCTGCGCAATCATCAGAGGCTTTTTTTTTTTACTTTTAAAAGCATTTGTAGAAAAAATGCTTTTAAAATTAAAAAAAAAAGCCTCTGATGATCACACGGCTCAGCTGGGCATGGGTAAGGTGACCAGACGTCCCGCTTTTGGCAGGACAGTCCCGCTTTTTAGCAATTTGTCCCGCGTCCCACGGCGTTTCAAAAAAGTCCCGATTTTTCATTCTGCCTCCTCAGTCCCGCTGCCTCTTGAGCCCCAGCTGATGGCTAGAAGAAAAAAAAACTGTTTAAACTCTTGCCCGGGGCTTCAAAGGGCCGCCCTACAGGCAATCAGTGTAAAGAGTTCCTGAAGCAGTTTTTTTCCCCCTAGCTAAGCTGCAGAAACGAAACCGAAACCAGGATCTTTGGTGGAACGTGACAAAATGAGGCAGAGAGAGATTTATTTTTATTTTTATTTTTCCTCCCCAAAAAAGGTAGGTGAAAAACTGCAAACAATGGGAAATTTAGGAGGAGAGTTCAAGATTTTAAAACACAAAAGAAAAAAAAGCTGTATTTAACTAGGGAATTGTAATAATTGAATTGAGATACTATTAATTGTATATTGTGTTGAAAGCAGAAATGTTTAAGTTGTGGTTCAGAGGAATATATGGGGGAAATTATTTGGTTTATTATTATTGGTAAATATAATTAATTGATTTGTAAGAAATTGGATTGCATGGAAATAATTGGAATATTCATGTTCATATTGATTAATATACAAAAAGGATAGTTTTATAACTAATTGATTTATATTAAAATGTTGAATTTGTATTAAACAACTGTATTACATAATTACATAATTAAACAATGTGAGGATGGATATAAAAATAGATGACAATTTAATTTAATTTAATTTAATTTCGAATTTATATACCGACAATGGAAAGGGGTATAATATAGAATAGAAGGGAAAAATTGAATTTGATTAAGATTAGAGATGAGGATGAAGGGTAATATTGGTTTTTTAAAAAAAATAGATGAGGAATAAATATGGCAAAAAGGAAATATAGAAATTGTAAATTTAATTGAAGTGACTAAACACTGTTTAAATTTGTGAACCGGCCAAATACTCTGTTCAAAGAAAATAAATTGTATGTTTGTATGTGTGTTTCTAATTACTGCTATTTATTCATATTTGTTCTCTTTTATTCTTTAAAGTTTAACCATTCATTCTTTATCTTAATATCTTTATATTTGTTTGGGGTTGGCTTTCTTCCCTTTCATCTTTTTTATTGTACAGCAATCTTTCTCCTCAAACCTACCACCTCTCTCTTTTCTTTCCTTCTTACTTTCTCTTCCCCCCCTCTTCTTCTCCTCCCTACTTCCTCTTCCTTTCTCCTTCTCCTCTCTTCCTCCCCCTCTTACCCTCACTCCTACTCTAATTTCCCTTCCCTTCCTTCATCCCTCTCTATTGCTGTATCCTTTTATGCATATGGACTACTCAGAGGGCTGAAAAAGTTATTTTTGACTGGTCCTCGCACTTTTGACCAGTCATCGAACTTACGACTGTCTTCACATTTTATGTTTTTTGCCCTATCTTATCACCATGGTGAAGAGAAGCAGTTGTGAAATGAGTGACATGGTTGTTAAGGATGCTGCATGGGCATAAATGTGAGGATGGTCATAAGTGTGAGGACCAGTCAAAAGTGCGAGGACCTGTCAGAAATGACTTTTTTCAGCCCTCTGGTTAGTCCTTTTGTGCATATGGACTACTCAGAGGGCTGAAAAAGTTATTTTTGATTGATCCTCGCACTTTTGTCCAGTCCTCAAACTTATGACTGTCCTCACATTTTACATTTTTGCCCTATCTTGTCATCATGGTGAAGAGAAGCAGTTGTGAAATGAGTGACATGGTTGTTAAGAATGCTGCACGGGCATAAATGTGAGGATGGTCATAAGTGTGAGGACCAGTCAAAAGTGCGAGGACCTGTCAGAAATGATTTTTTCAGCCCTCTGGTTAGTCCTTTTGTGCATATGGACTACTCAGAGGGCTGAAAAAGTTATTTTTGACTGGTCCTCACACTTTTGACCAGTCCTCGAACTTACGACTGTCCTCACATTTTATGTTTTTGCCCTATCTTGTCACCATGGTGAAGAGAAGCAGTTGTGAAATGAGTGACATCTGAGTAGTCCCTATACACATAGCCATGGCCACCCGGTCACATGACCAGCTAGCCACGCCCACCCAGTCACATGGCCTCCAAGCCACGCCCACAAAATAAGCCACACCCACAATGTCCCTCTTTACCAATGTTAAAATCTGGTCACCTTAGGCATGGGGGGGCGGGGCAGGGATTTCTGTTACCGGTTCTCCAAACCACCCACCACCATTGCTACCGGATCAAGCGACCTGGTCTGAACAGGGAGCATTTCATCCCTGATCCCCTGATCTTTAGCCTGGGGCCTTATTCACTAGGCCAAACTGGCTCTGATCAAGAAAACTGACCAAGATAGCTTCTGAGAGAAATTAATCTCCCCTTCCTGCTGACAGGGAACTGTTGCTGAAAGACTAAGCTATTTATAGTGGCTGACTGGCAGAAATGAATGAGTTCTAACTGCTAAAATGCACTTCTATTTTTTTTTTTTTTACTTTCAATTTAACATTCAATGTACCATTTAGTAAAAAGCTGGGATGTTCAATAAGTATCCCCAGTATATTCCAGTTCTGTTAACCAATCAATCTAGTGCACTGCTGATTTTATTTTATTTTTTTGTCAGAGAAAAGAAATGGTGTCAAATATTATTAGTAAAGCTTTTTCGGTCCCAACAATTACAGTGCTTTCCTTTGGTTTTGTAGATCGTTTAGGTACTAGTGTAAACTAGAAAACATTTAAGTATCCTACAGAATTGAGACTGGCTCAGATCTTTCCTCTAAAACAAAACAAAAATCACATCTGTCTTTTTTTGTACTTTTACTTTCTTTGTTCTAGTTCTGTCCAGACAACTATTGTAACTCACTTCTGTACCTTTTTTAAAAAAATTAGGATTTGCTACTGGTTTAACAATTAACAATTAAAGCCAGCTCTTCTTATCCAGTCTTGCTATCAATCTTTTTTTTTAATTTATCTCTTCAGACAAAAACAAAACAAAACAAAAACAACATTTTATTTATTTATTTACAGAGATTAGATATTATCTAATGCCAGGGTGTGTTGAAAGACTGCAATATGGTTTCTAATCTATTATAAAGTGCTGCTCAGCTGCATAAAATTTGACTGAAAATTCCAAAAACTGTAAGGATAAATAACAAAGAGGAAATAGAAGAGTACACTCTCTGGATTGTAGATTATCATCAGATAGTTTTATCAGAAGATTTTTGCTGTATTACTCTGATAATATGATGCACTGCAATACAGAAGAATAAAAACAGATCCGTGTCTTTCTCACTTTTGTTCATCAATATGTCTTTTTTTATACAAATTATCTTACAAATTAATTATTGTCAGTGAATTGCTACCTAAAAGGAATAGTATGATAGTTATTACGGTTATCATGAAAAACAGTGTGCCTTTGCTCTTCTATGCTGACAGAATTCAAATATATAATATCTATTTCTCTATTTTTATGATAGTGTATATATTCTTTAATGAATAACAGCCTTTCAAATCAGGGGCAGTTTCTTCTTGTCATTGATGGAAAATTGACAATATACGATTTATTTCCATATGTCGGTATCTGCATTCCAGATCTTATATTTAAATAACAATTGCATCTGAACTTTTGAAAGGTGAAATAATTCAACTCTTTTACTTGAAATAATAAAAAAAACCCAGGAACTGATTTCTAATTGGTTGTCAATGATCAACATGTGTAACAGTACTATTTTGCATTACATTTTTTTTTCAGCAATGAGATATAAAGGAGAATAACTTGTTGCGAAAGAATATATGAATTATAATAGAATATATTGAAAGGGTGGGAATGTATAACAGGTGTTAACTGAGCAAATTACAATGTATAATTCTTGAAGAATTTAGTCAGTGTTTACTCATAGGGAAAACTACATTTACACATGTGCAATTTTCACTCCCAGCCTCACTTCCACAAAATAAAAATAATGTTATCATATTGATCCACTATTATGCCTGCAGGTTATTCCTCTGTGTTCAGGGACTAAATCCTTCCAGACATGAATGCTTGGAGCAAAATTAGCTCAGTTTGGTTTAAAAAATAATTTTCTATTGCATTCATTTTCTGGAAGACAGACTGCTTTTTATTCAGTATAACTGACTTACAAATGAGCATACTTATTAATGATAAAGACTTCACTCTGCATTATTCAGTCACCATAGAAAAGTGACATACCGCAGATAGGAAATCAGAATATTTCCAGGTTCTATCTGTGTCTAACTTTGCTTTTATAGTACATCTGAGAAGAAACAGGTTGAATTCAGGGACCTAAGAGCAAAAAAAGAGTATGAAAGTCCTGCACTAGCGATAGTGATTTCCAAATTCACTGAAGGCAAAGAATCTTTCTCCTCACCTCCTCAAAGAAGGAGGTCTAGGTTTAAGGGAAAGTCTAAGAAGGCTCAAGTGGGGCAATTATTTTCATAGCTTCAGGTTCATGCAATTTTTCATTAGATTCCACTGTATAATTTCATCTTTTCTTGTTGTTGATTCTTCAGATTACTCAGTCTGGAAAAACAGGTGAATGGGAGGGGGTGGTGGAAACCCCTTAAATAAGATCATCTTGGTTTTGTTTAGTGTAAAATGGAAGGAAGGAAGTTGAATAACCTTTTAAGATCCAGTTATTCTACCTTTTTTGGGAGTGAGGGAGAATCAATTATGTGACATTAAGTCATTGTCAACTCCTAGCGACCTCATAATAGATACGGCATTCCTGCAATCTCTGCTGTGCCTGTTTCTTGACATGACCTAGCCTGAAGGGCTTACAAGCATTCTGTAGATAAAGCATCTGATACTAATGGATCTTTGCCTGGTTTGAAAACTGTCATATCATTAAATGGCAGCAATAATCATTGTACCAGAAATCCAGCAAGTTCTGACAGGCTCTGGAGAACTGGTAGCGGAAATTTTAAGCAGTTCGGAGAACCGGTAGCAGAAATTTTGAGTAGTTCAGAGAACCAGCAAATACCACATCTGGCTGACCCCAGAGTGGGGTGGGAATGGAGATTTTGTAATATCCTTTCCCCAGGAGTGGGGAGGGAATGGGAATTTTGCAGTATCCTTCTCCTGCCACGCCCATCAAGCCACACCCACCAAGCCACACCACGCCCCCTCAAACCACGCCCACAGAACCAGTAGTAAAAAAAATTGGATTTCACCACTGCATTGTACCCCTGGTTGAGTGTAAATAGATCCTTCCTTCAGTATGGTGATTTGATTTAATTTAATTTAATTAATTAAATTTATATGCTGCCTCTCTCTTAAGACTCAGGGCGGCTCACAATACATTTAAAAAATCATTATAAAAAGACATTGAAAAATTAAAAACATTAAAAACTCATTCACAACATTCATGGCCGGATCTCGCCAGATCACAAGAGCGAGATCAAAGGCCCCAGGCCTGCCAGAAAAGCCAGGTCTTCACCACTTTTCGGAAGGCCAATAGGGTGGGGATGGTCCGGACCTCAGGAGGTAACTGGTTCCAGAGAGCTGGGGCAGCCACAGAGAAGGCCCTCCCCCACGGGCCCACCAGCCGACATTGTTTAGCTGATGGGACCCGGAGGAGACCAACTCTGTAAGATCTTACTGGTCACTGGGAGCTATGCGGCAGAAGGCGGTCTCAAAGATAACCTGGCCCTGAGCCATGTAGGCTTTAAAGGTAATAACCAACACCTTGAATTGTGACCGGAGACCAATAGAGAGCCAGTGCAGCTCGCGGAGAATTGGTGTAATGTAGGTGTACCTAGGTGCACCCACGACTGCTCACATGGCTGCGTTCTGGACCAAATGAGTGACTATGAGGAGAGCCTCCCAATCCAAGTAGGGTCGCAATTGGTGCACCAGGCGAACCTGTGCAAAGGTCCCCCTAGCCACAGCAGTCAGATGTTGCTCTAATCTTAGCTGTGAGTCTAGGAGGACACCCAAATTACGAGCCCGTTCTGAGACAGGCTCAGAACAGGACAATTTCTCACACACACACCCCAGAACCAAGGATGGACAATCGACATAGTCTTTAGGAGGCAATACCCACAGCCACTTGGTCTTGTCTGGGTTAAGTCTGAGCCTGTTGACTCCCATCCAGACCCTCACAGCCTCCAGGCACCAGCACATCACATCCACCGCATCACTGAATTGACGCGGGGTAGAGAACTCTGATTGGTTTCCTGAATAAACGTTTATTTCATGTAGAAACATATGAAATTGTTTGCATCCAAATGAGTTTTCTATCAAGCAGTCATTTGTTCAGTAATTGGCTAATGCACAGAGCAATGCACCAGGTAGATAGGACTATTCCTGGACCAAAACAACTCCCAGGTCATCCTTGGAAGCATATGTAGGCACTTGGCTTCTTTTACAAAGAACACAGAATTGCAATACAGGTGAAGTATGTAAAGTATTATAGCCAGGGATGGGATTCAACTAGTTCGCACCACTTCGGGAGAACCGGTTGTTAACTTTCTGAACAGTTTGGTGAACTGGTTGTTGGAAGAAATCATTAGGGCAGAGAACCAGTTGTTAAATTATTTGAATCCCACCACTGATTATAGCCTTATCTCATGCTTACTTACTTAACCATTTAAAAATTGTGTTTATAGTATTCAGTTGTATATTCTAATCTGTTTTCAATTCACAATTTATAGTGTTTCCCTTAATATTAAGAACCCTTATAGAGTTTTAATATTATAATGTTTTGTTGATAATGGTAGAGATTAGCAGTGGTGGGTTTCACATTTTGTTACTACCGTTTCGCCCTGAGTGCACGCCCCCGGTTTGCACATGTGCCTGCCTTCTGTGCATGCGCCTGGCTTTCTGCCATGCACTTTGCTCACTTGCGCGTGCCTTCCACACATGTACCCAGCTTCAAAAACGTGCATAAATAGGATGGCATAGAGCCAGGGCAGGTAGGCGCCGATTTCTGCTACCGGTTCGGGTGAACTGGTCCGAACCAGCTGAATATCACCTCTGGAGTTTAGGTATGTTTTGTATCTCACAGGTTTACATATTTCACATACTTATAATAGGTGTAGTTGTACTACAAGTAGTTTCGTATCATATTGGTGCCTTTCCATTTTAAAGTCAACCAGCCACCTACAGTGGGGTTCTGTGCCTATGATTTTACATGCCTAGTTATTAAATATAGGTTTGTGTTTAGGTTTTATTCTGTTGTAATTATTTCTAAATGATAGGTTTCATTTATCTTATATGTCATCATTCTCACCTTTTATTTATAGCTATGATCTGAAGACAAATATTTCATGTTTTATTTTTTGGAGGGGTGGGGTAGAATTCCAATAGTAGCCTCAAATTTCTACAGTAGGTATTTCCTTTTTCAAACAATTGTCCTGTAAATAAGGTTCTTTACCAAATCTGAGATAATGGTAAGTATGCAGCAAACAGAACAGTTACTATCCAGATTTCTTTGTTGAATTCTATATCTTTTGTAACAATTGAATGTAGTCTTAGAAAGAGGGGACTGGGAAAATGATGTTTCACAGTGTAATAGATAAGTATATATGTACACTAGAATGGAAAAGATTTAGATGTAAGATTAAGTGTATACAGCTAAAAATTAAATGTAATGGTTAAGGCCAAATGTAATATCAGCAAAAGACTTTGCTTGCTTGTTAACTATCATAGATATCAGTGGGCAATGAGGTAGGACAAAAATAATAAGGCGAATAAAAATGCCATTATGTTGTTATGTGAATTCTTTCCCTGTACCTGCTTCTAACATTGTGATGCAATTACAGAAGAGTGGAGTTTGCTTCATGAAGTCACAACTAGAGAACATATCAGCCTATTTCATTCTTGTACTTATTTGATTTCAATCTATACAGCTACCCACTCACCAAGTGAGTAGGAATTCATCAGGCATTAACTGATAAAGAACTAGTGAACTTTTCATCCTAAGGGTGTTTATAACTAAAGAAGGATCACAAGTTCTTATAAGACAGAATCTGCAGCAAAGGCTAAATGAGCATAGAACTGGAACAGTGTCATTCAGATAGCACTACATTCTTATTTATTTATTTATTTATTTATTGGTTCAATTTATATGCCGCCCTTTTCCGGAGACTCAGGGTAGCTTACAATGCGTTAAGCAATAGCCTTCATACTTTTGTATATACCTGCTTAGTAGGGCTTTTGCTCCCCACCCCCCTAAGCGGTGTTCTTTTTTATATAAAGTCATCTTATTGCCCCCACAAACCGGGTCCTCATTTTACCTACCTCAAAAGGATGGAAGGCTGAGTCAACCTTGAGCCTGGTGAGATTTGAACTTGCAGTAATTGCAGGCAGCTGGTGTTACTTAACGGTGCTTTAGTCTGCTGCGCTACCATGGACCAACATCCTTCACATAAATTATGGTCTCAGGACACTATGAGTAATTCTATTTCCCATATATTCAAGATCAATTTGCAGCACATTGGCCAACTACTGATATCTGTACCCAAAATTGATCATACCTTCCCCTTCCCTCCTGTGTTGACAGTAGAGGGTGAGTGGAAAAAAAAATCCAGTTGAAAACATAATTAAATTAGTTCAGTTTAAAATTTGTAAATATAATACCACTCACTTTTTTTTTTGTTCTTTAGCTTGCTGAACAGTATACTTTTTCTCACAGTCTTTTAATATACATTTATATTTGCTTTTACTGTAAATAGGTTTTCTGGGTGAACTCTGTGAATCAAAGGAGGATAGTTGTCTCTCCCAGCCCTGTGGAACTACCAGCCTCTGTCAGGAAGACCTGGATGGCTATAGCTGTTTCTGTGCACCTGGTTTTATAGGTATGCTTGAATTTAAATATAATCAAACCTATTGATGCAACTTATTTTTTAAAGTCCTCTTAGCAGCTTTTAATTCTCAATCAGTTGGATAGAGGAGAACAGGTTTCAGTTCAACCATGACAAGACTGATATTTTAAACACCCCCAGTTCTCTTACTTTTTAACTGGTGCATGTTTTGGGGAGCCTATTGCTCAAATCATCCCCCATGTGGCAGATGTAGCTAGGGCAACTTTGCACTGGCTTGCCTTGTGCATTAATGTGCCTGTTTCTGAGACTATGGGGACTGTACATGTGGGCAAATTTGTGGGTGGGTGGAGAAGCGGACCACTCCGGCTGAACGGAAATGGTGGTCCATCCTTCCAGGTTGACTGGTGTCATCTGAATCTTGCAAGCAGAGAAATTATGACTCTCTGACAGGAAAATATCCCCTAAGGCTCAAACTCCTAATGTTACACTACCTTCTTTTTCTTGCTCCTCCCAACTTTGTTGTTCTTAACTGCTCTTGTCGTTGTTGTTCGTAACCGCTCTGCCCAATTATGTTTCTCACAAACAAAATCCTTCACTTTCTGTCAGGTGTGAACTGTGACATAGAAGTGAATGAGTGCCTAAGTGGTCCATGTCACAATGGGGCTACGTGCATCAATCAGCTTAATGCTTTCAACTGTCTGTGCTCTAGTGGATTTGAAGGTAACAAAAAAAAATACAGGTACAGATTTTAAGAGATCAATCTACAATTACCAATCTTTAAAACACAATAGTGTCCAGTAAATCTATCCTATTCTTCTTTATGAGCCATAATAATTACAGGGTTCAAGTCCTTGTCTCATGTCAAATTTGCTCCAAGCTACAATTGTATCCAAGCAGCATTTTATTCCTTTCTACCTTAAAATAGACAATACTTTGCTGGGTATTACTTGTTAAATAAATCATTTCCATTTTTATCCTGAAAAAAGTGTCAATCATCTTTAAATTAGGTTATTAGGACATATGTTTATCTAATTTATCTTGAAATAAATAATATTGGTCTTTATTCATTAGATTGGATCCGATATAAGTCTTCTGTGGCTAACAGGCTTTCGTGTTGCTGTTGCTTTAATCAAGTAAATGTTTCTCTGCTGAATCTGCTTTAGAGGGTGGGAAAAGAGGTTCTAGTGAGGGACTGGAAGAGGAGTCTAGAAAGAAAGCAGAAAGCTGAAAATCAGCTTCCCCCTTTTTCAATGAGAGTCTTCTCGCCTCAGATACATTCCCCTATAACGATTGTGCATTCAGTATCATCCAAGTGCTTGCAAATAGAATTAATCCACATGAGAGATAGTTCTGATTTAATCTAGCTTTTCTTTCCCATAGAAAAATCCAACATACATCTTCATACACTCACCTTCATACTGACTGCAAGCACTTCTGCTGGGTCTATTATATGGGTTGAATTGAAGGAATGTGGCTAATGAACATGATACCCTCTCCTCACATCATGAGAAATATTTGTTTCTATATTTCTTTGAACACAAACTTTAAGCAGCCATGAGCTTAAAGAATGAAGGACAAAAAATTAATGAGGCTAAAGCAAGGGTGAAATCGAGCAGGTTCTGACAGGTTCTGGAGAATCAGTAGTGGAAATTTTGAGCAGTTTGGAGAACCAGTAGCGGAAATTTTGAATAGTTTGGAGAACCAGCAAATACTACCTCTGGCTGGCCCCAGAGTGGGGTGGGAATGGAGATTTTGCAGTATCCTTCCCCTGCCATGCCCACCAAGCCACGCCCACAGAACTGGTAGGGAAAAATTTGGATTTCACCACTGGGCTAAAGTAATAGTAATTGAAGCAAGAAAAGCTGGGAATCTTTTCAATTAAATTCCTTGTGTGTCGAATCATACTTGACCAATAAAGTATTCTATTCTTTAAAAAAAATCTGTCCAAAAAGCATTCCTTAAGGCATATTAGGCAGGAAATTTCTGTAAATATTGTAATGTATTTTCACATCTGAAATTTTGTTACCCCATCCCCCTTTTGGTGAGAACTCATTTGCTGCCTTAACAAAACCAGAAGGAAGGTTTTCCTTGATGTCACTGCAAATCCATTCTATTCTATTTCAATGTCAATTCTTTTTTATTCTTTATTGATGCAAATTGATAAAGAAATTGGTTGCTATATATCTTGAGAATCAATTCAGTGTCTCTGAAGACTACTTTTCTTTTTGTGCCCTCTTAGCACATCAGTGTAACAGCTCAAATAATAAAGTGTCTCCAGAATGCTTTAGTGAGACAGGTTGAACTTATAATCATACTACTGACAGAATGTTCTCAACAGTGAGTTACTTTACAGGAGCATGCCAAATAAAACTATACTCTTAATCAAATGTTTGGCTTCTGTAAGGTATTGCCTTTTTCTCCCTCTCCAATCGCTATATAGGTACACTTTGTGAAATCAACACAAATGAATGTCACTCCAACCCTTGTATCCATAATGGAACCTGTATGGATCTTATCAATGGATATAGCTGTATCTGCTTATCTGGCTTTGCTGGTAAGTGGCATGAATCCTTTCCTAGGAAATTCCAATCTCCAAGGATTATCACACGGTTATTAATTTTGGGCATGCTTGGGTTATATGTCATAATTTAATGTTTATTTGAATCCTCAGCAAACCTTGTAAACTTTATGTAAAGTTAATTTTACATGGAAAAGATTTTAAATATTTTCTTGCCTGTAATCATAACATATTCTTTCACTTTTCTTTTGTGTATCTCCTCTTAATAAAATTATGTCATTATTATTTTATAATACATGACCAGCTTGGTTATAGAAATATAGCAGTAAGGGATCAAAGGATCTTGAAATTTCCCACATAAACTGCCTGTGGACAAAAGAAGAAACTCCATCTTATTTTGCATAGCACTGAGATGGAATTTTTATCCTGTAATGATCCTCCAGTGGAGAAAATAATAAAAGCAATACCTCAAAATCTACTCACTGGGTGTGGTGAGGTTTAAGATTTAGAATGTACTTAAAAATAATTCTTTAAATGAAGCCTATGGCATATATGACATCTCTTTTTACCAATCAGAAAGGAATATTTTAGGCATCTGGCTTGTACCATTCCAAAACAACATTGTGCTTAAACTTTGTAGGTCAAGTATTTAAATTTCTAGACTCACAGTATCTTCTATCATGATTCTTCAGCTTTCTGAACTACCTGTGTATCCAAATTTCCTTAACATATAACCTGCTTAAATAATTTGTGCTTACTTGTGCTTGTTTTTGACCTTTGATATCTGAACCTTCAAATAATTCCAAACTATATATCTTGTGATTGCTGTAGCCAGAATTAGGGTGTAAGAGACTAAAATCATGTAAACATTTGCATTGTGTAGCATGTAGTTACTTGATTCTGATGTTTGTGTATTCATTCAGTGAATGTCATAGTCTTCAGACTGGATCTTTTCTGATTGTTTGAGTTCTAGCCAAAGGTCTAAGTATCATAGAGTTATCATTGTAGTATGTAGCAAATTCTAAACAAAAGTTTTTTTCCAAACTTTCAAAGTATTTAAGTACAAAGTTCCAAATATTTTGTAAATCTCTTTAGTGTTATCATAAATAAATTATTAAACATAAATTAAATACAGGCATGATAGGGAAGCAGTTTTGAAGTTCAAATACAATTTAGGGTCCAGTTTATTTGAAATAAACTGGGAATAATATTACAACAACATATTACAAATAGCACTATTATTGCTATTTAAACTCTGTAGTATCATAGCCTGGGCACTTATAGCTTTGAGATGTACAGTGGGTGAAAATACTTCCTTTTTTGAAGAATTGACACATAGCTACCTAGTCATTAAAAATAAATGTTATGAACAATAAAAGAAAAAAAAACTTCCTTTCAATTTTAGACAAATGCCCCATTGAATTAAATCACAGGATATTTAAACATCAGATTCCTTGAAAACCTACCAAGGCATAAATCTATGATACAGAAAGTCTAAGATAGGACAACATTTTAGGAATTAAGTTTGCTTTGAACAAGTACAATTAACTTCAGACGCAGAAGGTCCTAGAAACATTCTGCATAACTCATAGTGCCCTGTTAGATACTTCATCTGATAGGCTTACTGTGATCTTCCCTTTTCTGTGTCTTTGCCAGCAGAATTTGCAAGAAAAACAGAGAAAGGAAACTGGAGATTTGATTCCAACCTTTGTTGTAGCATCTGTTGTCAACATTGTCTGCCTTCAAGAAAAAGCTCAAAGCTGAGCTTTTCCAGAAGGCTTTAGAGGCCTAATGCCATATGTTGCATTTGAGCTTTATTTGTCTTATTTTTATACTGTTTTATTTTACCATATTTCTTTCTCTTTGGAGTTGCTGAGATTGCTATGATTGCATCAGTGTACAAATAATAAACAAATCTTTCAAGTAAACCTTTGATTTTTGTCTTGTTAATGAATTTAACATGAAAGTTTTTTTAAAAAATCACCATATTCCATAGGGAAGATAAGAAATTAAAATAACTCTTCAAGTTCTCCATAATGGCCAATTGCAACATTCACTTCCTGAAAAGTTGGAAGAGCTATAGTAGCTGTTGTTTTGACTTTCTTTTCACCTCTAGGACAATCTTCATAGTTTACTATTAAAAATAAGCTTGTTATATATTCTCAGCAAGCTTCTTTTGCCTCCCAAATAACTTATTGAAGTACTCTGAAATGCTCATTAGAGAAACCTAAATTATACAACTTGTGGTCCTATATATTCAAAAAAGAATCTCATTTCTAGCCCACTTGATGATTGAAGTGTTCTGTCTTTTAGCTGGGAGTACTGGGAAGTAGTTCCCTTGCTCATCACAGCTAAAATTTCTCGTGCCATATTCTTGAACATGGAAAATGATGTTTAGATAAATGAGGTTAGGGATGGATGAGTTTTTCACCCAATTTGTATGTTGTATAAATGCACTTTCATTTATGGAGCTGATATACTGACTATTAATATATATACTTATATTAATATTTATACTTTTCCAGCTTTGCAATGCAGATTTCCAGTTAAATCTGTACAATAGGAAAATGAATATGAAAAATGCACCTACTTGTGAACATACTGGGAAAAGAAAAACTACATAATGGAAAACAGTTTGGATAAACATCAATATATTGATGAAACTTGACTATGACAATGCAACTTTTCAGAGCAATGCATATAAAAATGCATAGATATTTTTGTGTTGCATATTGGGGGGGGGGTGGAAACCCTGCTGAAACATGACAAAACAAATTTAAGGCCATGCCAACAAGAAATGACCTATCTGGTATAGAGACATGCTTCTTATTGAAATTAGGAGTGTAATTCAGAGGCAGGAAAGTTTAGTGGTGATGAAAGGAAATAAAGACTCTGATTGCAATGTATGTAAGGACCTTATTTCTGTGATTTAGATTGATTTCTCCAAACAAGATGGACTTGAATCTCAAGGTACAAATGGAACAATTATAAATTGGCACCTGCTTGTCTTATTAAATTGCTGGCTCTTCAATTATCTTTTCAAAGGTATTCACTGTGAAAGTGATCTAGATGAGTGTGCTTCTTTCCCCTGCAAGAATGGAGGCACCTGCATTGACCAGCCCGGTAATTACTCCTGCCAGTGTGTGGCTCCATTTAAAGGTAATGAACACCGAGGGAGAAGGGAAGGTAAACAAAATTAACTTTAGAAAGCATTTCTGCCTCTTGTCTGAACTGATTTCATTCTCCCAAGCAGAATTGTTAGGCTGTGATTTTCTCAATGCAAGCTTCAAAAGTGACTAGCCAATTATCACTTAGACTGCGACTAATGTGAATTAAACTTTGTTTATTCATCCACTGAAAGACTTGCTTCCGTTATTAGAGGAGATATAGTGAACACAAAATAAGAGTTGAATGCCATGTGTGGATTCACAGGGGAAAATCATAATTATTTTATTCTGATCCAATAAGGAGTGAAATTTAGACTCAGCTATCTCAAGATTATGTTTTGTTAGCATGTTTCAATGCATTTTTTTTACTAATTCTTTAAAAAAAAATCTTTTAAAAACATTATGGCAACCAATCACTTATTTTAGCATCATGTCTTTAAAATTAAAAAGTTCTCAAACAAAATGAGCACAATTCAAAACACACTGATGATGTCTCCTCGAATGGTGATGAAACTTTTGCAACCAAATTGTCAAGTTCGGAACTCAAACCAACAGCCTAACTACTAACCCGAGCTACTAATATTCAAACACATTTCAGTTCTCAAACACTTAACTGCCGCTAAATTATGCTGCATTCAATTTAGTGTTTTTAAAGTGTATTAATTTACCATAAAAACTATGATCAATAATTTAAAAATAGCAAAATATAGGAGGTTTTCCTTGGAAAGCACTGAGAATTTCACAGTTATATATATGCATCTAAAACTATGTATTCAATTCATTTTTTCCATTGCTGTGTTTCTTGTGCTGGATATCACTGACAAATGTTAATTTTTTAAAAATTTGGAATTCCCTTTTCTTAATAGAATGTTGGCCCATATCTTCAGAGTAGTCTTTGATTTTTCTATGGACAGGAATTAAAAGCATATTTAACAGAGGTATTTATCTTTTTTACTGCATACTTCTTCTTAAAGTTAAGAGGGAGTGTGAGGGTAGAATTTACCCTACTGCATATAAAAAATAAATACATATATATTTCTGTTATAATCCATTGTTTGCTCTCCTGTTCAAACCTAGTGTAATTTTCACATACAGACATTTTGCATTTAATAAGAAATGAAGTCTGTTTGCAGTGTTAGCACTCATGTTCCATCCATTTTTTATCTTCTTTCTATTCCTGCCTCCTCTTTGAAATCAGTTAGTGCTGCATAGTCATCAAGTATATTTAACCCTCATTCCAGTTGATACCACCTAACCAACATTGGCTAATCTTGAAGAAACAGAGTGGGACCAAATTAGCACTAGGATGGGAAATCCCTGTCAAATGTCAAGTTTGTACTATATATGTACAGAGAAATTGAAAAGGGGGAAAAAAAAAAAAAAACCTTGAAGAAGGCAGTGACCTACCTCCAAAATCATATTAGGTGTTTAGGATAATTTTTTTCCATTGTAAATATTTTTGTACTGACACAAATTTTATTCAGTTCTACCGAAATCATATTTTACAGACTTTAGAACCCATACAGAATCTTTTTTTTTTTTTACCAGAAATCCCTATGACTTCCTGTTCTAAAGTGTCTTATAACTATAGTTTGTCTTTTTTTGTGAGGGGGAAATGACCTTTAAAAGAATGGGTTGATAAAGCACTTTTTTTATATAATTTTGTGAGCAAAGAAGAAAAAAGTGATTACCACATTTTTCCTTTTCAATGATTACCTAATTGAGCTGTGCAGCTTTTTCAGGTATTTCCTTTGTGGGCAATTAGCCTTCCTTACACTTGAAGTAAGCCATTCACCTTGGATTCTTCTCTCCTTTCTCTTCCCACTTTCTCCTTCAAATCATTTTCTTCTGTCTTCAAGAATATCTTTAGGGCTGCTCACATATGTTCTAAACCTTCCTCCATATTGGTTTAATTCCCAGAATTATTGATACTTTCTGCTTTATAATACCATAAATTGTTTAGATTTGATATTTCCTTACTTACTATACTTTTCTCCAAATTCAAAACTGATTAAGATTTTCCTCCAAGATGTTTATTTTATTCTATTATTTTACTTCTGTTTTGTTTACGTTATTTTCATTTCTTCCTTGATATTGTTGTAAGTCACCTAGAGTAACCCCAGAGTGAGATAGGGGGCAAATAAATTTAACAAATAAAACATGCCACTAGAACCCCAGAAATACAGATCCTCAAATATACGGCAATAAGAATTAAAACAGAAATGATCAAACATTAAAAAATACTTTTGTTGGCTGCAGTTTTTCTTAATTTATATACAGTATTTAGAAAAATTATATGGCTGCCTATCTTATTAATGTGACTGTAGGAGCACTCGTATTTTCAAAGTTTTTCTTACCAATTTTTCACAGTTAGCTATCTGAATGAGATGGTTAGATAGTGTCATCTATGCAGCGGGCATGAATTTGGGCAGACTCCAGGAGACAGTGGAGAACAGGGGTCTTGGCGTGCTATGATCCATGGGGTTGAGAAGAGTTCGACACCACCTAACGCCTGAACAAAAACAACCAGGACTGTAATTAAAAATAAATAAATAACTAAAAAGCAAAGCACATTCCTTAACCCCTTATAAAAGTGGCAAGAAGGAATACAGTTAATTGAGTAAATACTGAAGTATTGTATTTTTTAGAATATAAAATGCACCAGAGTATAATACGCACCTTAGTTTTTGGGGAGGAAAATAGGGGGAAAAAATTCTGCCTACCAGGTAATCATCTGACTAGTGTCCATAGCTTGGTCAGCTTCAGCACATTGGTTTCCTGGTTTTGAGCATGCGTGTGCGCATGTGCTCGCTTCGCTCTTGCATGCAGAGTTGGGGCTCAAAAACAGATTCTAAAGGACAGCTGATTGTGGGAGGGAGCAGCAATGAGAAAAGCAGGCAAAGCGCGGAAGATCGCTTCACTCACAAGTGCCTCGTTGGGGCTGAAAAACAGCTTCAAAGGAACAGCTGATCATCGGAAGGAGCTCCAGTGACTAAAGCAGGTGAAGTGTGGAATGGATAAGAGAAGGCAGGAGCTGTTCCAGGTAGCAATTTTGGGCAGCGTGCATCGGGTTTTCAGCCTCCAAACATGCTGCCTTTTCGGGCGGTGATCGGTGGCGATGTGCTTTGGTGATCCCTGCAGCCTTGAAGGGCTCTCAAATGGATCATTTGGAGGCTGAAAATGTGATGTGTGGAGCCCCAAAACACAAGCCATTGTCGGTGGCAATCTCTGCAGCAACGAAGAGGACGTGCGGAGGTTGAAGGGTAGGGGCCAGTGGGTGGGCCGGGCTACATTCAGAGTATAAGACACACCCAAATTTTCAGCCTCTTTTAGGGGAGGGGGAAGTGCGTCTTATACTTCAAAAATACAGTAGTTTTCAGAGGGTCTGAGAAAAGTTTTGGGACAGCCATTTTGGAAAGCACCTGTGATCGAAGTATGGAAGAAGATGTTTTCCCTTGGAGGCTCTGTGTAGATGCTTCAGAGGCTTTCCCAGATGGTCTGCACATGCATGAACACATACAGGCAGTGCTTCCACTTGGACTGGACTCCGGGAAAAGCGAAGTATCTGGGGAAGTCCACAAAGAGGCTTTATGAAACGTTCTGGATGATACCTCTACCTCAGTAGTTCCAGGACAGGCCCTTTACTTATGCCCTCACCTTTTCCAACATGCTGTTTGAATGATTTCCACAGTCACGATTCTCAGGCTGTGTGTTTTCTAATGTATCTCATTGGAGGGTTGCAGCTAATGTTTCTGAAATATTTTGGGATTCTGCTGAAATATGAAAGCTGTGATTTCCAGTTGAATCTCTGGTTGAGCTGTACAATTTACATAAAATCTCCTTCATATATTCCATAAAAATACTTAATGCTGCTGAAATGTGGCTTGATTAAACACAGATGCCAAAATCTGCTCATAAGCATTTGGATTTTTTTCATGATCATTACTGGGTTATTACAAACTGCACAGAGCAAGGTAGGGTGGAAAAATACAAAGAAAGAGAAGTGAAATATACGTGGGAACTACTATGGATTCCAGACACCATAAGAAGAATCTAAAATTTAGGAAGTTCTCTTGCTTCTTCTGTATTTGGTTCTTAAATTTTCTTGGATTTTGTTCATACAATTAATATGTGAATCATCTTTTCAAAAATTAATACTTCTAGATGGTTGTATTCTGTTTGGTCTTTATTGACATGGACTTTGGCATTGATTATGACTTAAATGCATCCTGATGTACGTTTAACCAAAGAAAACAATTTTGGTAAAACCATTTGGCATTTCCCAACCAAAGAATAATAGAATCACATCCAAAATCACAAGTGCCCAGCCATATAAATTTAACTAATTAAATTTAATTAATTATAAACTTGGCTGTGTCAACAGACTTGGGGGGTCTCAGGGAAATGACATGGCTACATTAACATCTAATATTCTCTTCTAATCTTTTAATAATATTAATAATTTTAAATTGTGGAATATTTTCAATATAATGGTTTTATGGGTTTTTCTAAATTGTATGCCACCCAGAATCATGTCTTGTATGATGGGAAACCATATCATTATAAGAAAGAGAGGGGGGGAGAGGGAGGGAGAGAGGGAGAGAGAGAGAGAGAGAGGGAAGGAAGGAAGAAAGAAAGAAAGAAAGAAAGAAAGAAAGAAAAAGAAAGAAAGAAAGAAAGAAAGAAAGAAAGAAAGAAAGAAAGAAAGAAAGAAAGAAAGAAAAAGAAAGAAAGAATTCAAAAATCATTGGGAACATAGCAATTCTAGATTAATGTTTGTGTTTTTTGCATGGACTAAAGTGCAGGTATATGGTGAGCTTATATGGTGAGCAATGCACTCCTGCTATGTGTGTCTGGAAAGTATGTCTGAGTTTTGCTGTGCTTGCTGCATACTATGTGAGTGAAGTTCTAAATCTTCTTTATTCCAATATCGAAAACCATCTTTTAAAATCAACAGTCCTTTCCAGATACATAGACAGAAATTTACCTAAC